GAGGAAGGCCGTGTGGTTTAGCATGACCACAGGCGATGCCAGATGGCACTTGTGGCTCTGGTTTAGGAGGAATCTATGGTAGTGTTGGGTGGAGAAAGCCAGGAAGAAAAAAAGAGTTTAAGCAAAATAATGCTGTTTCTGGATATGATTGTTTATTGCTGTCTGCTGCCATGCATTCTCAGTTATTTTACAATATTCTAAGCAATAGGAGATGCTCTTTTAAAGTGACTCAGCTGGAGTAAAGTTGGACCTAGTGGATGAGTTTGGCAACAGTCATGCTTCTTTGACTTCTTATGTTGGGGAAACAAACCATTCAAAGACCCATGGGTCTGTTTCTTGAGTTTAATAAACAGAAAGTGGAATATTGAACTCAGGGACTCACATATACTAGGCAAGCACTTTTACCTATGAGTCACATCCCCAGCCCCCCAAAAGTGGAATTTTTTAACTACTGTATACAGTGATTGAGTTTACTATAAAATGAAGAGTTTTTCACATTTGCCTTAGAATGTAATTTGCACTAAGTAGAAAAACACTATTGATGGGTAAAGGAAGAAGCTGTATAAATCATAGTGAAGGGTTAAGAATAGGACCAATAATTAATATCAAATAAATTTCTCTAAATTTCTACTGTTGGTGAATTGAAGGGAAAGTTAGAAATAATTTTTGTGGAACTGTGTCAAAATTCAGGTGAGGATACAGGGGTGTGGAACTTGGAAGCTAACTAGCCAAACAGTTTTGTCAGATATTGGAAACAAAATGGGATATGAAAGATGGTCATTATTTTTTGAAACAGTTTCTTAAAATCTGTCTTTCCTAGCATTTATACAATTCTATTTTCAGATAAACTTATTTGAGGTCTATAAAAGAAGGTATGAGTCTTAATGCATATGGCAAAGAATTATCAGAAGTAAATATATAATGATGTTATATTGTAACTCATTTTACAAAATAAATAATGCTGTAAAAAATAATGTCACTAATAATATTTTTAAAAAGAAAACTTAATTGTGCCCAAAACAAATAAAGATCAAGCAGACTTATTTTCAGGCCTAAATACCCATCCTTTGTTCATTCAACAAACATTTGTGATAGACCTACCATGGACAAGAAATCAGTGGGTAGAAATTTTGGAAGAGTTAGTAACTAGGGATCTGAACTTACCTAATTAACACTGGATTAATGTTCTATTTATTTTTCCTACTTGAAACTAACATGAAGTAATGTCTCTCCATCAAGTAAAAGACTTCCAGTCTTACTTTCTGTGGTCTATTTTTTGGCACAGAATTTAGTGGCAGGAAATATGAATTCTTCTGATTCACCTAGTCAGTCTTCATTGGAGAAAAAAAAAGACAAGGGTTAAGTGAGAAAAGTGGTGGACTATGTGTCAGTCAGCTGGGCTTCTAGCCTTACTTCTGCCTTCACACAGCTGGATAAACTTGAAAAAGCATTTTAACTTCTCAGAATTGTAGAGTTTTCACCAATTACATCAGGGGATATTAATAGATGGTTTTTAAGTTCTCTTTTGCTTCTAAATTTTAATTAAGTGGAATCAGTAAGAGAAATGTTGAAAGTGTTTGATAAATGTGAGATGTGGTAGTGGTGATGACCGTGATGGCTGGAGGTGAATACTGAGTAGATTTTTGTCTACTCCCACATCTATCTTGGCTTAGTACACATCCTTTTGTACCTTCCATTGGTCCAAGAGTCCAAAGAATCCTGAGCCCCAAGGGACTGGCAGGCTACCTGCCCTTGGCCTCCTGCCTTCATAGTACTCCACGTTCTTTCCTGCCAGGAGTCAGATTGAAGGGGAAAGAAGCTCACAGGTCCCTCTATGGCTGCAAATGTTGCTGCCTGAGAAGTAACATGTCAGGTCAATAGCCTTTGAACCAGTCTCTCTCTACTATTGGCCTTTGCCAATACATAGGTTCTCCTGTGAAATGGGGAAAATCACACCAATTCAAAAGATTGTGTGAGAATTCATCAAAGTATAGAAAGTACCTGCACAAGTAGGTGGCTGCTAATATTGTCATTCTTGTAGTTAAGATTCAAAGCACTGTCACCCCTGCCATACCCTGTTTAAAGTGATGTCCCAAACCCCAAGTTACCCTGGAATATACATTTTCTTTTTTTGGGGGGGAGGGGTGGTGGGCATCAGGAAACCCGGGATTGAACTCAGGGGCACTAGACCACTAAGCCACATCTCCAGCCCTATTTTGTATTTTATTTAGAGACTGGGTCTCACTGAGTTGTTTAGTGCCTCACTTTTGCTGAGTTTGGCATTGAGCTTGCAATCTCCTGCCTCAGCCTCTCAAGCCACTGGAATTACAGGTGTGCACCACAGCACCCGGCTGCCATCCATTCTTATCAACCAAAAAGCAACAACAAGAGCAGTCATTTGAGAGTGTTTAAGTCTCACAAAGTGACTTCCTCTGCGTGGTTTCATTGTATTTTCATTGGCTATGGAGTGGCAAAGTAAGTCCTATTTTCATTCAAGCTCTCAAGGTCCATATCTTGTACCATTCCTGAAGACTGGCACCTCCATGGGGACCATGTCTACAAAGTAACACATAAGCAGTGCTCCCAGAGTCCTACAGAGCAGGAATGCTGCCAGTTTTAGACTAGAAACCGAAGCCTAGGAAGTTAAGTGAATTGTCCAAGGCCACACAGCTGAAGAAGAAAAGATTCTGATCTCAAAGTCAGATTGTGTCTCCCAGTATCTTGTGCTTTCCACCAAACCATATAGCCTTAACTACAGGAATGCATGAAGACCATGACAGTGTCAATTTTTTGGGCCAGCCTCTCAATCAGTATATAGCTCTGAGATGTCTTGCTGGGGGAACCCATGAGGTCATTGGAAGAGAAAGTCCACAGCATGCATAATGCCCTATGGCACATTGTGACTTAGTCCTTCTTTACATGTGCCACACTCAAGACATTGTTTTGTGTAAAGGAAGTGCCTTTACATCCAAGCAGATCAAGTTGTGGAAACTGTGGGCTATTGCTCTTTCTCTATAGGCTGGCATACATGAATATTCAACAACCAGGACCCCTCAAAAATTTATTTTATATCCTACTTGTGCTGCCATCACAATCTGTGGTCTGTGCCAAAAAACACTTTTAAGTATTAAAGAAAACCATTAGAGTTTGAGAAAAGTGACAAAAAAAATATTTATGAAAGTGCCACAATTGGACTCCATGTAAAATAAGTTACTTCCTCATATTCACTAATCCCCAAACAAAATAACTATCAAGAAATATTAAAACACACATTTTATTAGTTTCATTTAATTTCTTAATTGCTCAAAGTCAGTTTACCCATTTATTGCTGTGTGAAGTGCTTAGAGGCAAGGCACACATTAAAGGGATTATTTCCATGTAATCCCCCCCTCCCAGAGGGTCGGAGCTGATCACTGTGAATCCCGATGTACTCTCTGCAACAATACCAAGTGGAGGAAATAGGTATTGTAAAATGATAGAGTCGGTTGTCGGGTAATACAGTAGGAGAATGTAATTTAATAGTGAGAGAAAGTACCTCGTTTTCGGTAAAAGTTATGTGAGCCTTTTTCAGGAACAGCTATTAACCAAACTGAATTTAGCCTCCTCTTTTTCTGGCTCTACCTCTGTTAATTGATAGATGTTGAAGATGTGTAGCCTGTTAAGATTTTAATCAAATGGTGTCTGGCAGTAGATTTGATCATCTTCCTGGGACTTGGAGTTCTGAGGGTAATAATTGCTCTGAGTATTACGCTCCCTGTGACAGTTCTCCCATCGCCAGTTTTCCTTCTTGGCAGCAAAAAGAGTGCAAGCACTCAGGTGGAATTTGGAGGGATGCTGGATATTACACAGGAAAGGGATATGAGGTAGGAAAGGCTCTAGGTAATATCCACCAAGAAACTTGGGACAGTGTGATGTTCTGGCAGCTTCCACGGCACATCATAGCTGGCCTGAGACCATTACACCCCAGGGGATTGGGAAACCCATTAGTGACCCAGGAAAGAGCTTTTCCTTGTCCTGTTGTGAAAGCACCTCTCCCTGTTGTAACACCTATAACCCAAGTGCGTTACATTAGGAGCATTACTGCTATTCTTAGAAAGAGATAAAAGTTAGAGCTTTGGAAGAACACAGAGGTAAGACCAATTCTTGCCCCCTGAGACAGCACACGACCCAGATACAGGGGTCCTGGCTGACAGCACTGAAACAGGAGGGGCCTCTTTTCTGACAGTTCATGTTCATTCTCTGTGCTCATTGTCAGCCTAATTCAAAGAGTACACAAAAGAAAACACTTTTTAAAAAGCCCTCAAGGAGATTTGTACCATGTATTTTATTAAATTGAAGGCAAAACAAGCTGATACCAGCAGAAAAAAAATGGCTGCTTCAGACCCCAGCTGACCTCTTTTGCATGGAAAATTCTCCATATGATTACAGCGCTAATGAGTAATATTTAATGAAAACATTATGCCTTTGCATATATTTGTAAGCAGCACTTCTTATGTTTAAATTTACATAGAAATAAGAGGGTATGTATAAAAACACATCTTGGAAATCTGTGTATTTTAAGGAAAATACTCGTCTACTATCTTTGGCTTTTTCTGTAGCCATTTTTATACAAAGCCCAAATTTCTCAATAAGAAAACTGTAGAATTCAGTCAATCATCCAGTTGACACCAAACATACAAGTATTTGATGATGCGTGGATAAAACAGCTGAACGCGAGGCAGACTTGTCCACATTTCACAGGATGTTTTGGATTTATGCAAACAACAGTGTATGAAGGAAAAACTGGGCTAAACAATTGCTAAATAAATACATGAGAAAAAAAAAGTCTTTCAAGTTCAGGAATCCTTAAGTATTTGAAGATGAAGCCTTCGAACAAGAATTGCTTCTAGTGCCTGAGTATTTTCCTTTTCCGCTCAGAATCTGAATCACTTTGGTGCTGAATTTGAACATGGAAAAGCCTATGACACCTTTCTTTCTCACCCTTTCTCTTCCCTCTCTAGGTGGAGCTGACAGGCAGCAGCGTCTTTGACTATGTCCACCCTGGGGACCACGTGGAGATGGCAGAGCAGCTGGGCATGAAGCTCCCGCCCGGGCGGGGTCTCCTCTCACAGGGCACAGCAGAAGATGGGGCCAGCTCAGCATCTTCCTCCTCTCAGTCAGAGACCCCTGAGCCAGGTGGGAATTCAAACCTAAGTTGTGGGTTGGTGGGCAGGACCTTTGCCGAATGAGTGTGCTCAGGGCACCCGTGTGAAGAGACTATAAATAGGTCTAAGGGTATTTAACAATTCTGTGCAGCTTTCAGTCCCATGCAGTAATTAAATAAGGGAGAGATTTGAAAATAAGGAGACATTTTAATAAGTATAATCCAGAGATCTAATTTCAGTTGAACAATACATATAGAAGGTACTAGTTCCTTTAGTTTCTCTTTCATATTACTAGAGGAAAGCTTCCGACCTGGAACACCTTCTTCCTTTTATTGTTACCATGGCTAAATGTAATGCATTTATTTATTATTCAGCAAAATCTGTGGTAGAGGCATTTTGAATATTAGCTTGTGGAGAATTAGAAGTATTAGAGATTTGCAGAAATCTTGGTTTCTTTTCTTTTCTTTTTCTTTTTTTTTTTAAGCATCAGAAGGTACTTGAAAGATGTGAACAGATAAATTAAGGCTAAAAAGAAAACAGAAATGGCTACATTTTAAACTGCCTTTCCACCCTCAGTATTTAATTAGATCAATTGTATAGAGGAATGAACAGAGGTGACATTCCTCATTGGGATTCCTTCCAGGACTCTTATAGACTTTGCATTCAGAATGTTCCCATTTTCATTGTGTTGTACTGATGATAATTTAAGTATTAGGGGAAAATCCATTTATAAATTAAACAAAATGACTTGATATCCATCAGTCCCCTAGTTCATCAAGCTGTTCAAACACGGGGAAGATTGGCTGGTCGGCCTGGGTCTTCCGAGAGCGCTGGTAATTAGATCTGCGAAGGATTTATTCTTTGCTGATTGGGGCTTTAAATTAATTGAAGTTCCACATTTGTGGTTTTGTCCTTTTTGTACTTTTTTAGAGGAGATATTTCATATTCTTGTGTGGTGGAGTGCTTGGCCAAGCAGCAGTGGTTTAAATGTTAATTTTTCTCATGAGAAGTTTAAGATTTTTAATGAATCAAGGCCTGATTTGAAGTGCAAAGTTTTATTTGCTTACTTGGGAAATTATTTTTTCACTCTTCAAAGATGCCTGTACTTTACTTGATCTGTTGTTTTAAAACAGATTCATAACACAAAAGCATTTTGTTAGAAAGAAAAATGGGGGGGAAACTGTGTTAATATTAATGTTAAAATAACTCTACATACTTCCAAGGAAATACTTTAATTTGGCTTGCCTGGAAATAATCGCAATATGCAATATGCTTGTTCACACAGAAGGGGAAGAATATATTTGCCTCTTTGGGAAATATTTTAATTCCATCTAGAACCAATCCATGTTTCCTCATTGAAGTTGACTACAATTCCTAGGGCATCATTACCCTGGAGCATTGATGAGCATCCTTTTCCAGTTATCCCAACACATGAGAAAAGACAATATGTAAGTTTACTCTTTACCCTTTAAAAATGAGAATGATTTTGTTCAGGGGAAGTCATACATTCTTATACCATACCTCACTGATTTTACTGAACAGATATGCCAGGGAGATAATTGGGACTGTTTTTTAGTCATTAGGCTGTTCATGTCTGGGTGCATTTGAGAAGCAGCACGTGAAAATAGTTTTCTACACTTACATTCTGGAGTTGGATGGAGGCACCTTGATTCCTCAAAACTCAAACATGTAGCACAAAAGAATTTAAGTTTAAAAGCGTTTGTCTGAAGGAAGGCATTGGAAAAGTGAACTTAGTTTCCTTGAATCACAAATTCTAAGTTTAAAAAGATCTTTTTGATCCTTTAGTCCAAATTACAACACAGGTAGCTGTTCCTCTACAGCAAAACCAATAGGTGCCCATTCTGGTCTGTGTTGGAACCCGTCCTTAACAGAAAGCTTATGAATTCACAAGGCTGCCCACCTCCATTGCCAAGCAGTGCTAATAGAAAGTTATTCCTGATCTGGAGCCCAAACCTACTTAGCTACAACTTCATGTCCTCTGGGATCACATTCAAGATTTACTCCATCTTCCCTATCAGAGCCTTTCCAATATGTGAAGTCAGAGACTCAGATCCTACCTTCCTCCCATTTCCGGGTCAGACCACACTAATTTTATGACGACTGTTTGGATGGTGTGTTCCTGATGGACTTAGCACTCTAGACATCCTCCCTTGGCTGTACTTCAGTTTGTTGGTGACCCTCTAAAAATATGATCCTGAGAAGAGCCCTCCAGATGTACTGTGATAAGTACAAAGCTTAGAAGTACTGTCACTTTTCTTACTACAGGCTACTATACTTCTAATGCAGCCTAATGTTGACTTAGATTCTATTGACAGCCTGATCACCTCGTCAATTTATATGGAGCATGATGTCTCCCCAAATACTTATTGAGGGTAACTTGTCACTTGGAGGAAACATTTGAAGGAAAAAAAATCCACAGCCTGTAAACCATTTCTGCTAGGATATCCTAGGCTGAACTTCAAATAAAACAGCAAACCCAAATAAATATTTTAATATAGTATAACTCTGATAAATTCCATGTCTTCTGTGAAGCACTAGCATGCATAAAACTAGGTATGTTAGAGCTCCATTTTCACCTATTATTATTAATCCTGAATAGGAGAACACTTATCTCCTTCAACCGTTACCATCCTTCTCTCCTATAGAGTTACTTTATCATTTAACGTGAGCCATGATTGAAAGGAATTATATATTTATTTGGGCTTACCTCCCTTGGCTCCCCTGCCTTCCAACAGCCATCCTAACTAGGGAAATTGTGAACTCGATTTTCTATACCCCTTAACAACTTGGGCTCATTAGCTGCATTTTTGTTAGTAAGGGCTCTCCTCCTTGATGGTGAGCATGACTCTCACCATTAGAGAAAGTCAAGCTGTCTTATCCTTAAAAGTCTGTAGTATTGGTTATTTTCAATCTTTGGCTTAGAAAAGCAATTAGATTGACTGCTCAAATACTGAAAAGCAGCGTAGGGTTCTACCTTGAATGAAATATCTTCACTAATGCAGATGATCGCTCCAAGGGAATTACTTTAAAAGTTCATGTCAGGCACTACATCCCAAAGCTGCTTATGTTTCTTAAAAGCTGAAAGAATTTTAACAAGATTTTCTAATTCTTAATAACATGAAGGAACATTTTTTAAGACTGTTGTTCACTGCTTTATAATCTTTTAAACTCTGATAAAACACAGATTCCTTTTTACATCCTGGTGTAATTTGGTTGGAGAAGGGATATCGATATATGGTTATTATGAAAATGAAAGGACTAGTAGGTATGGAATTTTTTAGAAGCCCTGATGTGTTCAGTGTAGCATTACTAAATGACTGAAATCTAAATAACATTTGGCATTATAATAAAAGGAAATAAGTGACTAACCCAGACTAAGAGGCAGTGATACTGTGCCATAATAGGAATTCTATTTCTTTGAGCTGCCAGCCTTGTGATTGCCTTGTCTTGAATCAGCCTCAAGATAATGGGGGGGGGGGGGAATCTGTTGACTTGGCAGCAAACTCAGATAAATATTTTATATGTATGCACTTTTACTAATAGATTAGTAAATACATTATTTCTTTTAAATAAATCTTAAGTCCAGAATTGGAGAAATAAATGGGCAGCTTTGTTTTAAAAGTTCTGAAGTTCTATCATGCTTCTGTATGTGTGGAGCTAACCATTTTGGAAGAGACTGCTTTTCGCTGTCCTACAGGCAGCCATTTCTCTTCTCCCGCAGGCTCTGGCAACATAGGGAGCACAGACCCTCTTTAACGTGCCGTTTGGATGGTTCATTTTCTTTTTTGTAGATCTGCTTATATCTTTTCATTACTCTTAATGATTCTGCAATATAGGGATTATGAGTGCCATCTTCATGTTTTCATAAATCTCAATGCCATGTCTTTTAAATGCTGAGTAAACAGAAAAGCAGCTCTTTTAAGAAATCCTGGAGGAACTTTAGAAATCTCCCTATTTTGAAGGCAAAGAGTAATTTTCTTTTAAGTTGTCATAAAATTGTTGTGTTTTTACTTCTGCTTCCTTCTTAATAAACAGATCTTTTTATAATTATTAAATTAATTCATACTCATTGTGAAAAATTCAGAGAAGACAATAATAAGAAAAAAAAGTCCAACCAATATCCCACTACCCAGAAATAAGCACCATTAATATATATACACCACATTTCCTTCCAGATTTTGTTTCTGTTCTCCTCTCTCTCTCTCTCTCTCTCTCTCTGTCTCACACACACACACACACACACACACACAGGGACTTGGGGAGTTTTTTGTGCATTTTACTAAATAAGATCATAACATATATGTTTTTAGTAACCTGTTTTTCATTTAACCTCACAGGCATCTTTCCCTGTCATGTTTCTCACTTCAAGATGAAATTTCCTCCGTGTCTCCAGAGGTTTGTTTCCCACCAGCTAACAATCAGCTCCCGCCTACCGCTGTCAGGAGTAACATACCTGGGCCCTGCTTTGGAGGGAATTCAACTAGGACAAGGGGTTCTTGCAGCTTATTGAATGGGTGTGAACTCATAGGGGGAGAAATCAATAGTGCACCAGGATTTAGACAACTTAGCAAAATGTATGAGACAGTACTTTAGGTGAAGAATAACCATAGCAGCATGGTTAACCCGTTGGTTGGCTCAAATACATGTTTTATCTAAAGTTTTTGGCAGACACTAACTAGCCTGTTTAATGAGGTTAAGAAAATCATTGTGGTAATATGGTCTTCATGCTAGTACACCCATTCTATGTCCTGAAAGTTTTAAAAGCAAGCAAAATTAAAACAGTTGCATAGTTGCCTATATGGAAATAATCTGCATTTTCTACTTACACCTCTATGTGGTGATAAATTTGATCAACTTTTGATTCCACCGCAACAGGAGCTCAATCCTCTGCCTTCATTAGACAATAGTCACAATAAATTATTTAATTATAGAAGCAAATGACTAGAAATAACAATAAAGAATTATAAAAATTTATCCAGAGGATCAAATCAATATTTTGATTTATCCAGA